CACGTCTCGTGTCTCATTTTGTGCTCAATTTCAAGACAAAGTTTGTAGTCTTAATTCATTCTAGTCTTCAGATTTTTAGTTGTTCTGGTAATTTACATAGTAAACAAAAAAAACTAACACTGACATGTACAAATACAAATTTATAAGGGAATTCAGACTCATCCACTTGCCTGCAAGCCCTGTCACTGATACTGTTTTCAGCAGTGTTACTAGAACTACTGAGCACTCCAAACAAGACCAGAATCTGTTTACACTAGGTATTTTACATGAGTGAAGTCCCTGCAGCAATGCGTTTAAAATACGTAGATTTTTAAAGTACCAGAAAAATGTAGCTTGGTGATTTATTACTAATGTTAACCCTATGTTTTTTTTTCAATTCATTTTAGCAGTTGAGAGCAAGGTCATCTATTTTTGTGGGATTCACAATGAGCTTGTGACAACTTAAACAACAAACTGAAAGGTTCTGACATGCAAGTATGCGACAAGTCTGGAGCTGTGCTCTCATGCCTTATGCAAACCAAAAGCGAGACCCAGCAGAAACCAGTAAGGTTACACTTACAGGAATGATGCAAACACATCCAAGCTCACTCTAAACTAGGCCAGAGTTCATCCAGGCTGTAAATCTTTGTCCAAGAATAAGGGCAAATGTTCAAGCAGTTCATCTGTTTCAGTAGAAAAAAAACAATGCCGAATTCATAGAGGAGAGGAGAGCAAAACTCTGTGCAGCTTAGCAGTCAGGGTACAGAGCTCAAAGAAAATCCCAGATGAGAGATAACCTACGAAGACTATTTCTCTTTTCTCCAGTAACTGTTTATTTGCAGACACCAATTTACTGTGTGAAAAAGCATAATTTGTTGTGAAGTCCAATCCTGTTGATGTGTGTTATATATTACCTGAGATACCATCCTGGATCAAGACTCTCATGGGACCTGAGGCAGGAAGGTCTTACTAAGTTAGACTTACACATCTTATCTTCTAGATATAGAGCTTCTCAAGCATGTGATCATATAACCTTCAGGAAAGGCGCAATAAATTATCTTGCATGCAACTGAGAGTAAGAGCAGCCCACCCCCAGGAGCTGCCTGGGAGTAGTAAGTTAGCTTTAAATCTACCCACCCTAGCTTGTATTCTAGTAATTTGTTCACCATACCCTCAGGTCTGAAGATCTTGCCATGACAACAAAGTATATACTAGCCTGTAGTACCCAAATGTCTTTCTTACATCAGTAGCATCAAAAGGTAGTTCTACAGAATCGCTTAAAAATAAAACAAGGTTCTCTCATTCTAATCTCAGAAGCTGCTCATACCAACTTTCCTTTAGTATTCACAAATTGTTCAGACTGATGCAGAGAACATTACCCACTACAACACTACTCTGAAAATGGATCCAAACAAATACAAGTTGGGAATCCATTCAGTTTAAAAATGGACATATTTGCATGTTTCCAGTTACCAGCCCACCACTGGGCAAGCTTCTAAAGCAGCAGGCTGAGCTTTTCATTCACATCCACCCTCAACATGCTTGAACTAAACACACCTATCAGGCTTTTATGTGTATCCCTGCAAGCCATGTTAAAACCAGATGAGTGACACTAAAAGCATCAGCTGGCTTCAGAAATCTTTGACAAATATGACAGGAGAATGATCTTTCCTTATTTTCAAGTCATTTAGGAAAACACTCCCATTGCTTGGCTTACCCTCTTCTCTCTAACCACTCCCTTAGTAGACCTTGAAGCAGTTTCCAGAACACATTCCATTTAAAGAGACATTTTCTCACAGCTGACAAAACCATCCAATTTCAAACAGTACAGGGCTGCATTTATCCTGGATGTAAGTAGGTGGAACTCCAGGGATACTGTGAAGTGCTCTCGCCCTGCAATAGGACCAATCAATCAGCTTTATCCATAGACCATGGTCTATGGAAAAAGGCAAGATTTCTGTGGTGACTGTGCTACTGGGTACAGTTCCTGGATGCTGGGGTCCGCATGAGATCTGCCCAGAGATACCAAAACAACCTTCCCTAAGGTTTTTGGATAACTCTTCTTGCCTAACAGCACTATTCTCCCCTCAGTGAACAGAGCTGATGGCTCTTGTCAGTACATTCTCTGCCTAAGTGCAGTAAATGTTAAGACCCATAAACAAATTACACTACCCAGGATGAAAGCTAAAATCTATTTCTTATACATGAGACTCAGCAGTGCAACTGAGTCCATTCTGAGCTTTGCTCCAGCAGCTATCAATATAGCTGAGAAGTCGCATTTCAGTCCCCAATTTCAGAAAGCTGGCAAAGAAAATGTCAAAGATGATTGTTTTATGCATACTCTTACATGTAAGAAGATTAAGAACAAGTTTGACTAGTTTTCAGAAAGAGCAGAAAATCCAGCATTAATCATCTACCAAGATCCAATGTTCCAACATTTCTCATTAATTCCTCTGTTTGTCTGCCCATCTACTTCTAAGCCAGGTCATTCAAAACTCAAAATATTTCAACACAGAATGAATTAATCATGAGAAGTAATGTAATGTAGTATGAAAGGAAAGTAAAATTCAAGTATATGATCCATTAGTTATTAGCTTCAACTCAGATCTGGTCAGGCATCACCGCTAAGCATACAGGAGCATGAAGCTTCCTCCCATTCCTTGCTCCTTCTATGCTGTTTCTGAAATAGTTTTCTATGTTCAGGAGAAAATCGTGCACTGCTGTTATTGCTCCACATGTTTCAGTACGATGCTTTGATACAGCTCATTCTCAGAGTTTCAGTTAATAATCTTCACTACCAGCCTTAAAGAAAATCAGGAAAGACAGTAACAGTTCTGCTCAAACAGGACAAGAATTTATATGGTTCATTTACCCTCAGTAGAGAAACATTCAGAAAACAAAAATAGTATCTTCCCAATTTTTTTTTTAACCTCAAGAAAAATTGTGATCAGCTTCCATTTGCCTAGCTTGTAGCCACTTGCCAGTTTCTCTAGCATCCTGTAAAATCCTGACTGCAGCATAGCATTCAGAACTAGAGAAAGGCCAGTGTGCTTCAGCAAGTGAGCCAGAGAAAGGGACAGCTTAGTATTATTTCCATAGCAGAGGGAGCAAGTGAACAAGTTGTGCTGGCTTTACAGACACCAAGAAGAAGCCAAGGCTGCCTACATTTAAGGCAACTCTCTGCCACTATGTATTTCTTGTGCATAGCAGAGCATACAAAAGTTAAGGCCAATAATGCAGTGCTCAAGTAACTTATGGCAACATAAATATTATGAGGTTGTACAAGAAGACAACATGAGACATCTGATGTAAAGATTCAGCCACCAAAACAAGCCTCTCCACGCAATAATTAGTATTATTACCAATTAGAGCAAATATCTTTACATTTAGCAACAAAGGATTTTGTTCTGAGAAGAAAGCACACTGTCCATTCCTTTCTTTTTGCTTTCAGACTGTAAGAACATTAACTACCCTTAATTCCCTAGAGTAGTCTTTGAATAGCATAGTCATTCAGTCCTCACCACACTCATGTACCTTTTCATTTCCTCTCATACTCAAAAACTAAAGTCACATAAAAAGCTCCCATATCACCCCCTATGGAAAGCAGCTCTAAGCTTAGGGTATTGAAAAGGAAAGTTATAAATTGTTTTTTGGGGGGTTTTGTTTTTGTGGTTTTTTTTTTAGTTTATGGTTTTGTCAATTTACAAAATCAATTTAAAAATCTGAAAGTCACATCTATCTCTGAAGAACACCTTCCATCAGCACTGGTGGAAGGGAATACAAACAGACCAAGTATAGGGTACAAGCTGTGTTGCTGCATTAGCATTTTAATTTGTATCACGTTTTGAAGCATTGCCTTCCCAACTCCACTCATTGCACTTTTGGTTCACATTATGGAAATTCTCTGTGTATGCCTACTTAACTGTGGCATTGTGTAAATAAACATCCAGTATATGGGACTCAGAGCTATATCATGCTAAAAGTCCCACAGCATAGGTAAAAAGCCTTTTGCAGGAAGGGGGACCTTACATATCCACTTTGATTGCACTACCCTATCTGTTGACGTGAACATAATTATCAGTCTGAAAATCTTGCAGGAAAAAAGATAGATATGAAAGGTTAAGCTTTATAAAGTTGCTGGTTTGAGTCCCCCTTCCCTCCCCAAATGTGAACCTGAATTTTCTGCTGGTTTTTAAAATAACATTTAAGACTCAAAACTTGATTTGAGTCTAAATACCAACTCAGAGTTAATCTGTGCTTTTAAAGGTTGTCCAGAAAAAGCCTCAATTTTTAAACTCTTTCACCCCATCAGAAGGAAAGCTAAGGCAAAACCAGAACAAAGTAAGTTGATGCCAGACAATCCCAAACACTCCTATTTTTACTGCAAGTTTCAAGGTAAAGTTGATGGGCTCTACCATAAGTATATACCAAGTCTGACAGAACACATGAACGCAAGACTGAGAGATACTAAACATTTTCACAGTTGAAGGTATAAGATACCCTTACTTGCTATAACAGTAAATGAATTACCACAAAAGGAATCCTTAAAGGATTCCTGTCTTGATATATTCCTACATATGCACAAGACAATCTCCTGAAGTCAGAGTCACTCTCTCATTTTTCTATATTTTTTTTTAAGTTCATGTTTATAATGTACTTTCAATTTGATTTGACTTGATACAAGGCCTAACCTCCATGCTGCATCTTCTCTGGTGTTGCCAAAAGGCAGGCCTTGGAATAGTGTTTCAAGTCCTGCTGAATGTCAGGGAGGCAAGAGCTTGCATAGCCAAACCATTAAATCACTAGCTAATGTTGAGGTCACAGTGATGAAAGTGCTTATCTAGGCTAACTGCTCCATAACACGCTTTCCCACTTTTTACATGCAACTCCTCTGCATAAAGGACATACCTTGACTCTTAGCATGCACCAAACACGTATTCTGAGAAGTATCTCAGTATGCGAAAGCATCCTGCCAAGGCCTTCAGAAACGTTTTCAGTGAACATATTTCAGCCAGCAAAAGTAAGCAATTAAACTTTTATTCATAATCATTTACATATGACTAAAAACATTCACCGCAAAATGCATACTTTCAGTTATCTTGTATTGAGCAGTGAAAATAGTAATCTCTTCATAGTAAAGCACCAAGGAGTACATCACAGAACAGTCAGAAACAGATTCCACATTATCAGTTTTTCCCCCATCACAATGCACATGACAAAGCTGAAGATCTTATAAAAAGCCTAAAAGTTCCAGAACAGATTCCAGAGTCACCTGAGTGCTTGGCAGGAACAGCATTATTTAGTAGCAGTTACATTTTTCTGACTTTTTTTTTTTTGCAAGAGAGCTACTTTTCACAAAACCAAGACAGATACAATTATGCCAAACATTGGGGTGCATATTTCATTGGGATTTTTTTAAATAGGAGTCAAACAGAACAGTTTGCTAGTAGAGTACCTACAACAACTGTAAGAGCAGATGTCAAGAGGAAAGAAAGGAGAGTCAGCTCATTATAGCCTGATAGGTGCCTGTAAGCAGTTGGGCCCCTACCAAGACCCACTACTCACTCAGCTTTTTCCATTATGTTTAATTAGCATTTCATTCAAACATACTACATTTAGGACAACAACATGGTTTTTTTTTTAAGTTAAGTTGTGTACATGGACAAAAATACCTGTACACAGTTTTGGTAGTTATTTAAAGCTGTAAAACTTACATGTAAAGGGGGGGTCCTATGGATCCCATTACGGACTAAAGAGAAATAACCATTATCAGTGTTACCTACAGAACAATATTCTAATACAGAAAATAATACAGTTATCAAGTAATTCATTAGGGAGTACAATTGTTATACAAAAAGAGAAATGCTGCCTTTTTATCACTTCAGAACAGCAAATAAGAAGGCAACATTAGGAAAAGTGCACAGCAGAAAAGAATGGTTCAGTTTTCTGAAAAAGTGGATTTTTTTTCTTCAGACATCAGGCTTTTATCTGGAAAAAACACTGGATTAGGATTGCTTATGTCCTCTCCCAGCTCAATCTCTTCTTGCATTAGCTCTCAGTAAGGCGCTTACTCTGACATGTAGGAACGATACATCAGGGCCACGATGATTGCTGCTATTGCCGGGATCACCCAGTTGGACCATGAACTAGAAGGAACATTTTGAAACAGCAATTTAGGAAGTGACAACCAGCAAGTCAAAACAAACAAACAAACACTTCTAACAAACAATATCATTGCTTACAGAAGTCCTTCCTCCCCACACCAACAAATACTTCAAAGGCACAGCAGCAAAGTACCTGGCTGGCCACTAACACTCTAGCCAAGTAAAATAAATCTTGTACTGTTAAGGCCTTGTACTAGAGCTTACAAGAAGTTTGCTTACTAAAGTAAAACTCTAGTAAGTAAGCAACATTTAAATCATGGCATGCTGCCCAGAGTATCATTCATTCAAAAGCCATTCAAGCAGCACATCATGTGAACTTCCAAGCACCCAAGCTCCCCACTGAGAGGCATGGAACAGTCCTCTGACATTTCAGCAAAAGCAATTGTCAGCAGGATATAACTTCATAAAGTTTGATTCAGTGGTGTTTCAAAGTGTTCTTCCCCCGCCCCAATTCTGACAGACTTTCCTTCTTACAGACATAATCCTCTTATTTCCCCTAGATGTATGATTTGCTACAGGTATTGCAAGGAAGGTGTCCATGTCAGTAAAAAGAGTCAGGCATGGCACCAAATGTCTTCTATTCACCTGGCAGTCACCAGAAATGAAAGCTTGTGAGACATAAACCATTTGGTAGATGCTGATACCTACCAAAGTGAGAAAAAAAATCTAGCTAGTAAGCCAACATGCTTGTAAAGTGGTACACAGATGCCAACTTGGACTTCATGTAGAAAAGAAATGTTCATGCACCACCCTCTGACATCTAAGCTTCCAGCAGACAGCAGCTATTCAGAAACGTAATCAGGAGGAACTTCAAGTTTGACATCAGGTGTCATACTATACCTGGAACTGGACTGAACAGTGGTAATAAGAGGTTCCTGGAAAGCAAAGCATAAAAAGATACATCAGGGAGACATTCCACTCCATCACCACTACCCCCTCAATTTTTCAAGACTCATTGTCAGGGTTTAAGCCTAGCCTGCTACTAAGTAGCATGCTGAAAACAGGACACTCATCAAGTGAGATTAATTTAAAACCAGCTCTGCATTGCATTTGGAAAGCATTTTCTCAGAACTCTCATAACAGACTGCTGTCTTAGAAACCAGTTAGCAGCAGTTTCTGTATCAACACTCCATCAAGTGTTATTAAAAGAAAAAAAAAATATCGCCACAAAGAATTTTGTTCTAAGTTTTCATGAAGCCAACTTCAGCCTAAGGTTATGAAAAGCCTACCTTATGAGAAGTTCTAATTGCCTAAAGGATCCCTTACTTGTCTGAAATCTTGTTTTTAATTAAACACTCTAGTTCAGAGTGTTTTCAATTAGATTTGAACTAATACACAAACACTTCCTTTATCAAATCTACAATAAGAAAGCTACTAATTTACATGCACGAGGCTTATTAAACTCAGGTTTTTAGTGTGGTGTTTCAGATAGCTTAAGCATCAGTCAAATTATAGCTGTTTCTGATACTGATTTGGACACCTTGTTCAGTTTCCACAGGAAAAGTGCTACAAGATCAAATCCCAGTTAGGTACATGTGCACATTTCTATGAAGACTTGCTACTTTGAATATTACTAACCGCACATGGCCCTAGTGCATTTATAAGATCCAAGCATTCAAACTGTACTTCAATTTCCATCACTGAAAAATTAGTTGTCCCAGCATAAATGGACTGCAAATACTCTGAAAGAGCAAGAGTACCAACACCCTCGCATGGGTTCAAACAGGCTACTTTTGGAAGCACTCAAAACATCACAGGTTTGGATGTAACCATGTTTAAGAGTAGGACACAATGATTACATCTATACTGGTGTTGTGAATATCTCCATGAAAAACTAACCCCAAAGCCAGACAGCATGGAACAACTTGTATCTACACTATCAAGGCTAACACCTCATACAACAAACAACCTGTCACACCCAGGGCCAGGGGATGGCTCCCCCCTTGCCAAGACAGTAAGAAAAATACAGTGCAACTCATCAAAACTTGTTTTTAAACACTACCACACTGGACACGTACACTGAGGGTACTTTAAATACAGTGCAAGGACGAGGACATTTGAAAGCACAAGGCCTTGTGACTGCTTCTAGAGAGCCAAGGCACAGAGCTGAACCTGTCACATTGCCCCCCAGAGAACAGTGCAAAGTGAAACTATCCTATCAACCTCACCCACACATCGTGCTGAAAGAAAGTGCTCCAGCTTCCTTCTGGAATGATGGAAAACATACACGCAGTGTAGATAACTATGACCAGCATTAAACAAGTGAGTAAGTCAGTCACTTGGATCTTAATTCCCTAATGGCCACCATGCTCTGGCCAAACTAATATTCTAATTACTTCAGTTTAGTAAGTTCCCATGAGCTTAATCAAGGGATTGTACACTACAACTTGCATTGGGCAGTCAATTTCTCAGCTGTGTTTATCGTTGCTATTCTTACATCTTAAGTGTAAGCTGCCTTGAATTTCAAAAGGAATCCAAATAGCAGATGTTATTCTTGGTGGGGAAAAAAAAAAAACCTGAATTCCAGTTACCACTCCATTTCTTATTTTTATTTGTATACTAGTTGCAGTCCTTAATAAAATTAATAATTGCTATAGCAAACATTTCAGTGTATTTTTTGTTTCCATCCCTTTAGCTTATTACTTTTTAAAAAAGCAGTCACTTTTAAGATCTTCCAATAATACTTAACAATGGTAAGATCCTATTCCTACTGCACTTCACCTAAAAATAATATTCAATTATTTCCTAATTGCACTGCTGCTGTTCTGCCAGCCCTGAGCAAACATACTCCATCCACACAGCAGCAGGAACTGTACAAATTAATCCCTGAAGCACTTGCTCCTTTAAAAGACATCTGTATTTTATTAGTTCTATAGTTGAGTGCCAACACAACTTTATTCTATTAAAGATAGGGGAAAAAAAATAGAAAACAAGTGCAATACTGCACTGACAGAACACTCAGTAAAATCTACTGAAACAGTCAGGAAGCAAACAGTATTTTCACCTTGAAAAGGATTCATAATTGCAAATTAACTGATCTGTAATACAGCAGTCAAATGCCTCTATATTCTATTAGTGTTACCAATATATTATTAAGCATCACATTCCCCCTAAAAAAAAAAAAGAAAAACCAAAAAATTTAGTTTAATCCATTCTGTCTATAAACTCATTTTTTCTTTAACTGAGTACTGGAAAACCATTTGGGGATTCTAGACTCACCTTTTTTGCTACAGTGTAATGCCTTCACGCTTAGTAACCTCTTGGTTCAAACCACACAAATAAGAAAAAAACAGCTAACAGGAGGAGTAATTTGAAGCCATATTAATAGGTTTAAGATATTACTGATTTCAAACATTGCATTTAAATCAAGCTGAATTATTTTTGCCTCTGGGGTATACCATTTACAGACACTATACCCAATGCCTAAAAGAAAAAAATGTGGCATTTCAGGAAACACTTACTGATCGTTTCTGAAGCTTCCCTCTATCGTCCTGCAGGAAAAGAAGCAACAGACATTCAGACAAAACCCCAAAGTATTTAAAAAAGTCACTAAATCCAGTATGCAATTTATTGTTAATGTGCACCTATTTTTACCAATGAATAAGGCTTATAAAAGAGCAGATGTCAGTGTATGATCCTGAGCTATCACAAACAAGATCACTTGCTTAAATAATACTTCCCAGTATGCAATAAAGAAGCAAAACCCACACCTCCAACATATTTCGTTATTTCTTCTGCTCTTGTAAAAAATGCCTTTGCATTTTTTTTTGTCTCTAAACAGTACACATAACCTTAGCTTATGAGCTATTTCAATTGTATTAGCTTGCTTCTGCCTAGTCTAACTTGTATTATCAGGCAAAGTCATTTAACTAGTTTTGTCCAACATCCTGTGCAATGGTCCTAAATTCTATGGATCTTTCATCAACTCATGAAGTTTTATTTAAAAGTCACATTCATTACAAAACACCCAACAGTATATAATCTTAACAGTGCAGTAATTATGCATTAACCTATCTTTTGGTTTTACATTAAATAAAAACAGGCACCTGTTAAACATGGAAGAAATTGACTGGTAGCCAGGTTAAGAACAACTTTACTAGCATCAACTGCTATCTGAACTAAGTAACAAGCAAGTAAGGTTGCAAATGTGCAGAGCAGAGTTATTTCATATTAAGGGAAGATGCATTACTAACATTTATCAAGAGATGACCTAAGAGACACATGATCAGGAATATTACTGTGAGACATGCTGCTCAAGACAGTGATATTTACTTGAACACAAGACAGAACATACACAAAGCAAACAGAAGAGGGAAAGAGAAGAAGCAGGGATGGGCAATAAAGTAGAACAGATGGGCACATTAGCAGCCTAAACATCTAACAAGTGGCTTTCAACTATTAAGATGCAGGAGAGATTAAATAAGGCCTATCTGAAGGAAGCCAAGGTAGCAGCTCTGTAGCTAAATGTAAATCCTTAAAAACTTGAGGCAGGAGAAAGGTTCTTGTTAGAAATACAGGAAATGGTAAGGACAGTATAGAAAAGAGGAAGTGACAGATGATCCAGTTGGAACTAATCATAAACAACCCTGACAACTACAAGTAGGGAACACTGAGAGGTCAAAATGAGGGAGCCAGAAAGAGAAGACAGAGCATCAAATTAGTAAGATAGTACTAGTACAATACTAGTAGAAAGTACAATACTCACAACAGTCATTTTCTAAACATACAATCCTAGCTCTTCATATGTACTTTTAGATCCAGATGGAGGCCTGGCATTTATATTTACCATGACAAAATCAGCTGTTAGTAATCACTCTGCATATTGACATAAGGTCTAGACATTCTGACATACCACCTTCAGGGGTTAAGAGAGTCTCATTATATAGCTTACAGAGTACACCAGAAATGGCATGATTCCATATTTAGTTTATTCAAGAATTATGCTGTAAAATATTTCAAAGCAGCAAAATTTTAGATGTGACCACCCTTTATGCGACACTAATCAAATACCTTCATACTGGGGGAAGGTATCTCCAGCCCAGGTCCATCCACAACTAGTGGTTTTTCTTTATTCTTATGTAAATTACTAGAGAAATAACTAGACACAAACTACTACAGTAAAGAGCAAGTAACAGTACGCTCAGATACTCACCGGGTGAAGCTCCCCAACAATAAAGGTTTCTGACATTGCCCTTGCATCTGAGGAATGGCCAACATCTTCAAAGTTCTCGGTAGCATCTCCCCCAGCTTGCTCCCTGAGGACCTCTTCACCACCTGGGTGCTGCAATTTTTAATGCATTTGAATTTGTTACTGAAAACTATTCCACATTTAAAAAATGAAATATTTTAATTTCTAAAAATTAGTAAAATGTCCTTGCAAAGTCAACTGCTAGACTTCTTAGTGTAAACACAAAGCTCTCCAGTAACTCAGAGAAGCTTATGTACTCTCTGAAGCCAAATCCAAGGGAAGTTTCTACTCCACCAGCACAAAATAGTAAAAGGCATTACCCATAGCAACTAAAGCATTTAGAACATCATTGGATTCAGTCTTTTCATAGCTCAACTATTAATATAAAGTTATATTCTGTAATCTCACTTCTGCAGGAAATGTGTATTTTTTATACAAAAAATGCCACACATACAGCCAAAGGGTAAAAGGCAAAAGGTCTAAACTGCAGCAAGAACATTCCAAGCTGACATAAAAAAGTTACTCGTAAGAGCAATCAAGCACTGGAACAGGTTGGCAAGGGAAAACACAACCTCCATCCTTTGGAGTTGCCTACACAAGGCACTAAGGATCCTCACCTTCAAGTTAATCCTAGTTTGGGCTGGGGTATGGACTAGATAACCTTACGGGGTCCTTTCCAAATGAAATTGCATGATTACCTAGTAAGTCAGCTATACTGTGGAATCGTTTAAGCACAACTGAAAGCTCATACAACACACTAGAATACCAATTTGTTTTTAGCAGGCTACGGTACCTCAAAATTCCTTTGCTGATAAAACCCTCAAGATGTAGGGAAACCATCTCCCAGTATCTCCTAATATCTCAAAACCATCATCATTCCCTTAACCCAAATCCCTGTTCTCCACTGACTTTTATTCTTCCCCAGCATGCACTTCGATATTGCTGGCAGTTCCACATTTCCAGCCAACAAATAACTGTATATACTGCAAAATCTAGCATTATCTTCTAGTTCAGGGCATTTTCTCAGCATCAAGTTGTTCATCTAACAGATACGTAACATGCCATAAAAATTCACTACTCAACTTTTAAGTAGGAAACTGCTACATAAACACGAGGAATGATTACGTGAACAAGTTGAATACACTTTAGTACTGCCTGGGAATAAAGCAACCATGAAGTAAGTTCTAATACTTGACCTGTGACACAGGAAATAAGGCTCTGGAGCATCAATTCTGGTTTTGATGCTTCTGACTACAGTGTCTGAAATGGGCAAAATTTCTACTAATTTAGGGTCATCTTGCCTGGAGCATCACTGAACAGAGAGGCTATGCTAAAACAGTAGGTTAAAGAAACGGCATAAACATTCCTGCTAGTCTAGGCAATTCAGGTTAGAATTTACTTCACATTCGCCACATTAATCTATCAATCCTTCTCTTCCAAAAAAAAAAAAACACAATTTCTTTATACAGATCAGGAAGACACTATTATTACTAGTTTCCAGTAGTACCACAACTCCAAAACTCAAATCTTTGCATTAAAGGCAGACATTTATTTTAATAGTTGAAGTTGCCTTAAACCCTAGCACACACACAAAAAAAAACCCGACAAAACAAAAAAAACCACCCCTATGTAACACTTTAAAAAGCCGAGATACCACAGCCAGAATGGTAAGGGATCCCTACCATGACTAAGCAAAAGTGAGATTAGGCAACTGATAAAGAGACTAGGCACAACAGCTGAGCCAAATAAAGGTTAGAAGAGTGCATGCAGAGTAAAGATTACGCAAGCAGATGTGTAAATATGGCACGTTCACTAAAATCCTGCCCTTGAATCCATTCTGATAAGTATTCAGGGAAAGGACTAGACAAAAGTTGAGGGATCACTCAAGTTCAGCACCTTGAAGCTTATAACACATTTAAGAAACTGAACTTCAGTTTAACAGGCTGTAACAGATATTGCCACAATTAGGACTTTAAAGAATACCTGCAGTAATGTGAGGTTTGGGGCTTATGGTTTTTTGGTTTGTTTTTTTTTTTAAATATCATGCTAAAGGATTCTACTCCCCAAAACACACACACAAATATATGCAGTATCTTCAGCAGAAAAAGGCAAAATTCCTTAAAAAAACATACCTAAGACATCAACAAGCAGAAGGCACCAAAGTTAAACTACCCATAAAGCACTAGTTGCATAAGTAGCATGTAGATTCACATACATGCACTGCAGTGAAACCAAACCCTACTTGCACAACTAGGTAAAACACTAGTTACTCCAGCAAGCTGTCAATACTACATGGTTTACACTAGTTACCCCCAATAATTCACCAGCCAACTATGTTGGTTATCTCCCAGTATAACAGCATCTACATTAAAACTATTCCACAGAGTACTTCAACCTGCAGGTTGCTGACTAACAGAATGACCGTATATTAATTTGTTCACAAATCCTTCTGCTGTGCCACTACGAAGAAATCACGTAGCTATATGGGCAACTTCACTGAGGCACTTAGCTTTTCTCTGTAGAATTAGCTTTTGGTCTAACTAGTAACTGATCCCCTCTGTCTATGAAACCACAATATTAATGTCACCACAGTGACTGTGACCAGCCCTCTCAGTAGCCAGCACACAGCAGCGGAAGGAGACAAGCTGCCTGACCTCTGCCACCACAGCTGGAAAACAGGTAGTATTTTTCCACTCACATCACCAAGGCTAAGTTAGAGATAACCAGACATAGAACTCTTCAGCTATATTGCAGATGACACTAGTAACCTACTAGACACACATAGAAGTACTCTGAAAAAGTACATTAAAGCTAAGCCCTTCTATTAGATGGTACCTCTGCATAAAGATGCAAACAACTAGCACGCAATACAAGCTATTAATGAAGAGACTTCACCTCCCTTAATGAAAGAGAGCAACTGTAATGTCTCACAAAAGGCAAGAATTGACTTTTCTATCAAAAGCAGAGAATTTTCCATGGCTCACCAAGTTTCTCAAGGCGTGTTTACACAGGGTATTTGTTCACGCTTCTGCCTGGTGAACAAAGATTGCTACCAGAATTTCTACTTTAATGAGGAGCCTCTGGACAGCCCCTGAAACTGAAGAGCCTGATAAATTATATAGATAGCGACTTCTAAACTGAAATCTTGCTGATGCAAATAACTGAAGTATTTTGCAGGCAAAATAGTGGGTCAAAGGAAACAAGAAAGCTTGTGTTGATAAATTAAGCTAGTCCGGCTCATTCCTAGGATACTCCCAATAAAGCAACATAGATATTTAAGTTACATGCATAACATATCTGTACAGAGCCAGTACTAATACACAGCATAGACTAATTCTTAACAGCAACACATTAGAAAGTTTTAGATAAGGCACAATAAGCAGTTAAACTTGCTGCCCTCATCTGGGTCAGAAGTCCATAATTACTTCAGCCTGAACACCTATCGCCTCTTCCCCCTCTCACTACAGTCATGAAACTTTTTCAGTATCATAGTTCAAGACTCTATTAAAGTATAACTACCCTAACTCATAACTGCTCTAATGCACAATACCTGGCCCCTCCCCCTTCCCATATGAGAGTCCACTTTTAACTTTTAGTGAGATTAGCAACGGCCTTCATCAGTGGCAGTCTTGTAAATTCAAGTTTTGTTTTCTGCACTACAGGGAATGAGAAGCATAGACGGGCAGCAACAAAGCCAGGAACACCAGGATAACCTCAGCGTTATTGTGCAAGACAGACAGAATAACCACGTTTTCAGACTGCATGAAAGCGGCCTTAAGAGAGTCCCCTAAATTATTTCCATCTTGTAACTAAGTTATAGGATAGAAATTCTGTACTCATGCAGAGTACATTTTAGAAGCCAGGATCTTTTTACAAGTGTATTTTTGAAAACCAACATTACGGTTTTACATAAAGTACAGAAGAAATGCCCTGTAACTGGGTGCCCATTTCCCCATTTCCAATTATAGCTTGCAGTGCCTAGTGTAAAAGAGTGCTAAGAAGTGCAATTTTTTCCACAGCATTTGCAAATTCTCCCACAAGCTTAATCAGAACTTAGGGTAGTGACAAAACTAGTTTTAATTCTTAAACTGCAAGGTTCTGCAATAAAAACTCACAAGATACACTGACAGACCTCAAAATGTGCTAGTACCAGCACCCTTCACTGCAAACTTTTAGTACCTTCCACGTTTAAACTAATGACATTACTCCTGCACAGTATCATTGTACTGAATGAATGCAAGTTTTTGGCACATAGAGGACAGAACATTTTTCATTCTGACAGTAAAACAGTATTTGCTCTTCTGCAGTTTGAGCAGCATGACTAAACAGATTTTGTGGGAGCTGCCCATTCTGTTTAGAAATAGCGCTGTGAAAGCTCAAGTTCATACTTTCTGAAAATCCATTTTCATTGGCCATTAACGTTTTTGCTAGATTTTGAGTCCACCAACAACTGAAATAACAAAAAGTCTGCATTGCATCAATTTTAGACATGTACCACAGTTTCTGGAACAAAGGATTTCTCTCAGAGACATGCTCCTATTCTTGTTAGCTTCTTTGCCTTATTTAAGGAATTCAACCAAATTCCCACAAAAGCCTTAGGGAACTCTCACCACAATGGGAAGCAGATCAAGATTCTTATTTTTATAGGCTCAGCTACCCTTATTTAGCTCATTAGATGTCAAAGTTTGACTAGCAGGATTACCTCATGAATCCATTAACTGACATTTAATAGTTAAATTATGTTGGTAATGCCCAGCAGTATTAATCATATACGTATTTTATCAGCAATACAGATATAGCCATAGAGATCCTGCTGTGATTAAACATGAATTTTCCTTTAAATGACATAGAGCCTGAAACTATGGAAAAGTTTCACAACTTTTCTGCAATACAAGTCCAACAACCTTTGAATGAAAAAGCTGATATACAAGTTTCTGTTTTCAAGAATAGTCTTTCATACCAAGAGCTTTCAGATACTGAACCACAAAAGACAAGGTCTCTTGATTTCCTCCTCTAGAGAGCATACTTTGATATCCAAAGAAAATTCAGAGATATATATTCAAGTTATAAACTCTGCTAAGATCTGCCATTTAAAAAAATACACACGCAAAAAAAGCAGTTGCTGGAATCTTCAGTAATCCCGAAGATACGGCATCAAAATACATAATCCTTTCCTTCTCCAGCACTTCATATGTATTTCAAAAGACTTTTTTTATAAGCCTTGTCCTTAGGAAACCAAGCCAACATGGTCACACTATGTGATGCCTCCACTCCTCTTCAGCCTCTACACTCCCAAAACACATGCACATCACCGCCCCCGATCCACTTACTATCCAACTTCAAAGAAATGCTCAGAGGCTGATGGCTCCCAAGAACAAACCAAACTTTCCTAAACATCTATAAACTTTCTAAACAGACAACAGCTCCATTACAGCACTGTAGGAGAGTGAAAAGCAGCAGCATACTTTCACTTACTAGACATGAGAGCATTCAGTGTCTTTAACAGTGAAGCACTGTAATTTTTTTCAACTTCATAATCAATAAGAAAACATTTCCACAGGTTAATGCAATGGCTGGAGAGACTGCTTGCTGAATTAAGAAACTGGACCAGGGAAGTAAGCTTCTGTCCCCAGTTCTTGACTCCTTAGTCAACTGATACTTTTACTTACTTAATACTTGGAAGAGGAGGCCTGAGGTGATGCTTTAGCAGAGCATCCTCTTTACTACTACCAGACTTGTCTTAGTAGCCTACATTTAATTCTTGAAATACTTCAAGCTTTTATACTCCCAGAAGGAGCTGCAAGAAGCAAAACCAGGTTTAATCAATAATGCTGTTGAAACAGCTAATGTAATTCTTACTTCACTGAGAAATATTTACAGTAGTCTGGAACAAACCAGCAAGAGGCTAGCTCCAATTTCTCCTCATCTATCACAGGCAAATGCCTCAGGGCATCTTCACAGTGTCAAAAGAATTAGCACATCACTTGAAAAATTAACCAGGTATCAAAAGCATATATTAGAAAAAAAGTAGTAAAAAAGTGGCCTATGTAACATTTTATTCTGTGTTCCATACCAAAAGTCACCAACACAAGAAACATGACAGTATCAAACAGCTTTCCTTAAGAACGTAGCTTCATTTAAATACTTTGTTGAAAATTGTCATCTAACCTCATTTATTGTCTCAGAATATGACTCGGGAATTTCAGCTCCAAACACCCATATTCTATTGAAAGCTCTTTAGAGCAAGAAAAAAAAAAGGTTTACCCAAGTGCATCAGACATTCCACAGTTGTCAAAAACACAACTATTCAACTACTTACAGGCAAGCCGAATTCTTTTGATAGGCTGCTGAATTAGTAACATCATCCTGAAAGCTGCAATGAAGACTTTCTTGGAGAAATCTGGTAGGTGGGGCCTCTTAACAATAACCAATTTCATCACGTACTGAAGGAAGAGGCTGTCAGTTCCCTTGTGCAGCTACTTACATCCAAAAGCTCATAATGTTCTACTGGATTTTGTCAAGTGCGGGGCTTTTTTTTCTTTCCCTTGTGTTGTGTTCAGCTTGGAGTTTTGTGTGTGTGTGTGTATGATCAGCCTCTCCTGCAACTAATCTGGAAGCGCTTACAGTTATGTATCAACCAAAACTAATCAAGTTTTCAAAAACAGCTACTTCAATTTTCAGGCCATATGAAAAACTTTATTTTCCTCCAGGCAGTCTATAATTAAACTGGTCTTTCCTGCATAACCGAACAAACATTTCCATAACTAAAGGATAAACCAAACCTGGGACAGAGCTAGATGAAAAATAATCAAGGAAGAGTTAACAGATCAATTTCACAATACTGCCTCACTGAAAAGCCAAATTGTGCTGACACACAGCTAAAGAGTGACATACTATCTGTGCCAACACTGCCTTTTAAAAACAGCTTGTCCACCTCTTATTTCTAAAATTCTCAATTTAGGTTCTGAATTTTAAGTTTATAACCACAAAAATCAAGATGGAGCCGCAGGGCTACTTAGGTTTGCATTCTGTCATGTCTCTACAACCCTAAACTGCACCCTCAAAGAAATCACTGTAAATCTACAGTAACACTTAACTGCATGCTAGACCTTTGCAGAGGGGGTATAACGGGAGTGAGAGAAAAAAGTTACCACTGCTTGCTCAGTAGCTGCATTTCTGAATCTCCATGAAGAAAGTTTCAGACAAAGAACTAAAATGCCTCTTTGTTAACCATGACTATCAGCGTTTACATCAGTTGTTCACCATCAGCAAGTGATGAAAAAACATCAATCGTTAACCAGAGGAGGGGAACAAAACAACCAACCAAAGGCATTCCACCCGACCACCGTACTAGTTTGACCGCATACCCACGCCGAGTGCTTTGTGACACCAGCAAGGGCATAAAGCCTCCGGGCACTGCGGTTTATACCATGGCACAGAGTTTAAAGGCAGGTGAAGGGAGCGAGCAGTTCCTAGCAACAGGTTACATGCAGTGGATGACAGCGTGCCCGGCACACTCAGGTTTTGCTTGCCCCAGCGCGGGGCGCCCGCAGCATAACCCGCCGTTAGGGCCTCCCTCGCGCGCCTCCAACGCCTGTCGGCCCCACCGCCCTCCAGCCCAAGGCCAGCAACCGCCACACGATCGTCTCGGCAGCACGACCTCGGCAAGCCGGCGGCAGCACCTCGCCCCGCCGCGACCGCCTGGCACCCGTCCCTCGGGGGAGGCCGCCGGAAGCCCGCAGCGGGCTGCAGCCCTGGCCACAGAGCGGGCAGCTAGCCGGCATCGCCCCACCAGGGTCCCCTTCTCCCTCCCCGGACACCCACCTCATCCAGAAACTTAGTGAGATCGTAGATGCGGTGGTGCAGGATGATCCAGGTACTCTGGCTGTTGTTGTGCTTCTGCACCTCCTCCAGCCGGTAGTACCGGCCCCGCCACGGCTCGCTGCCAGACTCGCTAGAGCCCACCATTGCACCTCCACACAACGCCGCCTCCCCAACAGACTACAACCCCACAGCCCGACGCACACTGACCTGAGCCCCACTGCAAGCCTATCACCGCCCGTCCCCTCGCTTGCCGGCTTCTCATTGGAGGAGACAACCGCCGCTCAAAGAAGCAGCAGGCTGGTGAGCGCGGTGGGCGGGACCTGTGAGGGGTGGGCCGGCGGCCTCGTGCCTGCTTTCTCTCCTCACCCACCACGCTCGCGGCGGCGAACTTGCGCGGCTCTCTCCATGTGACCAGATGCGGTCACGTGTCGCTCTCGCCGGCGTCTGTCAGGCCGTGGCCGGGGGTCGAACTCGTAGCCCTTCCTTCTACCCCCACCACTTGGCGAGACGGGCGCTTCTGTGTGGCGGTGGTTATAACTTGAGCGCACGCCGACCGTCTCCTCAGTCAAGTGCTTGTTGCCCAGCTACTGCGCCTTGCTGCCTGCGCACTTCAGCTTTAAGAACAAGCAGATGTTACAGCCGAAACAGAACGCGGCTGCCTGCTGGCGCTGAGTGGCGCTGCCGCCGCTCGGTTCGTCCTGCAGGAAAACCCTTCCGGCTGCTCGTAGAGCGTTACGCCTGCCTGGTCCTCCCAGCCTCCCGGCGGCTCACCAAGCAGCGGCTGGGGCACAGCGCCGCGGCGCCACCTCGCAGCTCCCTTCCGTCCCCGCCCGTTTTCTCGCTCAGGAACCCTGAACACAGGTCATCAAGTCGCGGGAGCTGCCCGTACCGCCAGCGGCCGCCCTGCCTTCTTAGGCGGGCGGCTGTGCCCTCAGCGCAGTCGTCATCCCCCTCCCCACCCCCTAGCCCTCAGCCCGCATGCGCGGCGGCGGTTCCTCGCGCGGAAGGCGGGAGTTGTGTAGCTGCCTCAGCGGTCCGCGTACCCTGTGAGGGAGGGCAGCGGCAGCGTTGAGAAGAGACCCGGTCAAAGGTGCCTCCTTACAGCCATCCCTATGCCCTTCCGTTTTATAGAAGCTAAAACTCGGTTCATTCCGTCTGGCCTTTGACAGTCTTGTTCAGCTGTTGGGCCAGAATGGATCCCTCCATCCCTGTCACTGGGGTACCGGTGCTGGGTCATAGTTGTGCGCACCTTGGGTGCCTCAACGGCAACAGTCCAACAGCAAGCACGTGCTCCAGCATCATTACAGGCCGTGGATTTTTGTGGGATTTGTTTACAGCATTGCTTCAGTGGTATAAAATTTACCTAGCTGAGGTGCTTTTCCTCAAAACCGGTGTTTGGGTGGTTGCTTTGTGCCCTGTGTGTGTCTGTGCTGTCTGTATGTAGGACAAGCTTCGTACTTACTGAATGCTGCGATGATCTTCGGATCCCCTCTCTAGTTCATTATGGTCAGCCTAATGGGAAGGTAGTTACCATCCCTCAGGGCTTGGTGGCATTCCCAGCTTTAATAAGGAGGTTCTTCATTCCATCTTCCAGGTTGCTACTGAAAATAACAAATATTGCCACCAAACTGTGATTTACCTGTGTGTGTTGACAGGAAACCAGTGGTAGCCATTCTTCAACTGATGTCCTCTTCAGCTTACAGGAGTTTACATGTTATGTTTATCAGCATCAAAAGATGTAATTTCTCTCACACTTTAAATTTTCCTGTTTGCACAGAAAGCGATTGGGTTTATTTCCTATGATTTATAACTGGTAGCTCTCTTTTGACTGGTAGTTTTGTGTTAACTGATAGTTCTGTCATTATTCTCTCCCCTGAAGGGAGAAGACATTTAAAAGCACTCTGCCCCATTAGCCTTTAAGATGACTGAAAGATTTAACTTAAGCTGAATACAGTGAGTGGATCCAACAGATGAGTTGGCCTCAAACAGCAAGAGGATTACTGGAGTGTTGCAGCACAGGCTTTATAACATCTTTGCCATAAAATCCCCAGCTGTCCATTTAGGATTCTTTTAAACATTATGAAAGCTGAGGACCCAGCCTTTCTTTTCCATTTTTGCAAATGCACGAGATTGTTTTCTCATTTGTTTAAAATGGTCCTTTCCCTTTAGATGTAGCTTTTGGAATTTTCTGATGAAGTGATAGTCTTGTCTGGCATTTAAAAAAAAAAAAAAAAGTCTGTTTTTTTCTGATTGCTAGAAAGAACTTGAAATGCGTTTTCCTTTAAGGGTAAGAAACTAGGAAACATGTTAAATTAGTTATGAAACACTGACCGTGTGCTTTTTATAGGATATGGCTGAGGTTGATCTTTTTAATGTGTGATACTGTTAAGCAAAGCAAAGAAAAATCAGAACAACAAAGTTGTCTGACATTGTTCCTCGAAAAATGTTTCCAATTCATAATTTTTTTATAATGATTTGCAAAATTGCTCTTTAGGTGAATACCTGGTGGCTTCCTAAAGTTTGGAAACAAAAATATTTATTGCTATCTTCACTGTGCAGATAAGATCATTTCCCAAAAGGTTTTTAGGGTTTGGAGGGGGGGAAGAACTATCAAAACAGCTTTTTCTGGTGTGCAGTGTTTATTCCTGGCTTTTCATAACAGCAGACTTTCTACCTGCTTGTTTTTTTTCAAAACACTTTGATTGAGAAAGGTACTATAGTTAAAAGGTGTATTTTCTTTAAATAATGAAATATTAGTTACCCTTTTATGTCATAAATATTATAGTTCCTTTACTGTAAGCCTTGCATGTGCTGCAACAGGCATCTAACAGGCTGGAACAGCACAGCTGTTTGTGTGTTTCCATGTTCTTGGTTTTCATTCTCTGCCACAGTACAGCCATGGTCTTTATATGACTAAGCACATCTCTGTGGAGCTCCTGGGTATTAAACTTTCTTGCCACATAGGAGGGGACCAGCTTCACAGAGGGATTCCTCAGCTCTTGGATCCCACATAGGTGGCAGCCCCAATGGAGACTGAGAAGATGGAAAGGATGCTTTCATCCTTGTCTTTACTCTGAATATTTTTACTCTTGTAAATACTTTGGGGTTTTTTTTCAAATGTAGTGCAGTATTTATAGCAACAGTATATTGAGCTGGCCATTTTAGTTGACTCAATTATGTTATATTGTCTGCCTAAAATTAATCAGAAGATAAATGATTATCCATTTACCTGATACCATATACTTAAAAGTTCAGTAAACAAATATCTGCCTTATAAAAATGAAATATTTTTTTCCTTTCAAGACCCAGGGGCTGCTTTGGGGCAATCAACATATAACATGAATGGCACCAGGCACCAGCCTTTGTTCTTTGTCAGTCTGCCAGAGTTACAAGAACTCTGTGCTGCTACAGTAACACTGAGTTCTCATATACCAGAAAGCGAGACAAGGAGTACACAGATAAAGATTTGCAGGTAAAAAATTTCAAGGGCTGTTATTTCAAAAGCTGGTGGTAATTATTAATCAAAGATTTTATTAGCAGAACTAAAATTAAGTGTAATAAAATCAGCAAAATTCTCATCTGCAGCAAACGGTACAAAACTGTTCAAAATAGATTTTGTTTTTTGGGTTTATTTTTTGATGGGGGACTCATGCTATTGGGGGAAAAAAAAAACATTGCTATTATGTTTTAAATATCATCAGGTAAAACTAACAGGGCCAAATTAAAAAATAATTGAAATTGACCTCTGTTCATTTGTAAAGCTGGAATGCTTTACGTAGGTGGAGACTGACTAAAAAGAATACTTGAAAAGCATATGTACATTCCTTAATGTTCACCAATCATTATGTTATTACCTTTAATAGGAAAGGGGAGAAACAAGAAGCTCTGCCAAAAGGAACACTTTTGGAGAGTTCTGTTTATGTGCCAAAGACCTGTAGTCTTTTCCTGAGACCACTGTGGGTGGGTTAAGACCGAGTAACTTGGTCTAGCCCAACATACTATACTGAGCCATTGAAAACCGGTTAAAAGGGGAATATATTATGTTTGGAGATGGTGAAGAAAAAAATTTAATATGAGAAAATCAAGTATGGAAAATATTTGTTTTCCTAACATTTTATTTATTTGTTTTTATAGGCAGTTATTATTCCTGCATCAAGACATCCTTTCTGCACCTCTTATTGGAACACTAAATCAAATTTCAATTGTAATGGCGGTCAGTATCACTGTGTAAATGAGTATATGTAGTTACATACCTTAGCAGATGAGTGGAATGCACCTCACTCAAAAGAGAGAATCTGGAATATGTTTTATTGAGGTAAAATAATAATTTGACGGAGTTCAATAAGCTTGATGGAATTTAGCAAAGTTTTAGCAAGGTTCACCTTATTAATTACTGCATGGAAGAAACATAGAGAGGAAAATTGACTTAGAATGACTCATACCAAGGTTGGAGGCAGGAAGAGTAGAGGACCTTTCTGTTGAGTCATGAGGTTCAGAGTGTACCCCATTGTTTTCTACACTCTTTTTGAAGCCTAGGTGTCCAGTCTTAGTTTCAGACTTGGTCAATGGTTCACATCTGATGGAATTATCTACACAATGCTTATAATATCTGAGTAGCTATATGGATTATTAATGCTTCATAGTATTAATTCTGCATGATATCAGTAATTTACCAAGGATCTGCTATAGGTAGAGCTTTCCACCTTGGCTAAGGAAGGATCTCTTAGTCTTAGCTAAGGAACCTCTAGCCTTTAGAAGGTCCCTGCTCAAGAGGAGAATCATCTGGCACACAGGTCAGCTGCCATTCTGGAATAGCTCAAGTCTGGCCTATCCTGATTTCAATATTTATAGGGTGAAGTAGTTTGCTGCTAGTCAATATATAGACAAGGCAGAGGTCTTCAGTTCAGCTCTGGTATCTTGTTCAGTACGTTAGTTATCTTGTGCTTTTGGGTTTCAAAGCCACCTTTCAAATATTTTTCAAGACACTTCACTCCCTTTTACATGAGCCAGGGGCTTTCCAGCTCTCAGGTTTATCCCAAGGACTTGAGGCCTGTTGCTTCCTTGTCAGCCTGAACCAAAGTACAGCTAGGAGTCAAGTTTATCCATCACACATCCCTCCATGTTTCTCTAAGAAGTGTTTTGTTTGAGAATCAAGGATAAGTAAAATAAAGTCATTTAAAGCAAAATTTTATTTTTGTGGCTTAGTTAGTACTGTAGATGTCAGCTTATGTCTTCTACTCTTCTGATGAAACGGCCTTTCCAGATGGTGAACCTTTTATGGAACAAAATGGACTCAGCTGGTAAGATGCCACCAAATTCACAGCGAGAGCATGAGGGACAGAGTTCTGCATTTTTGTTTTGGATAGTCTTTTGGTTGCTACATAATGTATCTTTAGCTGGTGATGAGTTTACACTATGGCAAATGCCTGAACTCATTTTAATTATTGTGCTCCTTTAATGTACAGGATATGGCATTTGCTCTAACTATTCCTTAGCATGTTTTTCTTAGGCAAAGTCAGTGATGGGCCATAATTTAATTTATGATTTGCTAAAATACCCCTTAATTTGCTTTTTTTTTTAATTATTATTTTTAGATACCGTTTTACAAATCAGGAATATGTCAGGCCTACATAGAGAAACAAGGAGCTACTGTAAGTGCTGAAACGTGTCTCAATTCTTAAGACTGTTACACTTGTCTTCAATTGCTGTTTCCAGAGATGTGTGTTTTTGTAGGGCATGCAATTTGCACTACAGAAGCCAAGTTTCAGGGTAAAAAAGTCTTCCAAACTGTCCTTTATGAATCTTGGTTTAGTAAGTATATTTTGTCAGTCAGAAGTTTTAAGAAGTTCCCGAGCAATATCATTAGGTTGCTGCAGTTGGAATACTGATCCTACTCAGAAGTGTTGAGGTTTGTCCTCGAGGCAATGACAGACCTGCCCCTCGGGCCAAAGACCTGCAGCTCTTCTGAGGGTGTCAGCTCCCTCTGTGTGTGCTCTGTAGGTTCCACATGTGCAGGTGTTCAGACAACAGAACTGTCTCCCCATTCACGGTTCAGGTTTACACCGCCTGCGTAGGACAGTCTCAGAAAAACAAAACACAAACATAAAGAAGAAATGGAACCCATGAGCTTAACAACTGATATGTTTTTTAGACCATTATGCATATGATTTACTATCTTCTCGTATGTCATGTTTGTGGAGTTTATGAATGTATGTATGGGCACACTGAAGTTGCTGAATCAAAAGACTGCTTGTAATCAAAGCCAGGAGCTCTCACGATTCATTTACACACTCAGTCGGGTGTATTTCTCTTTGTTCCAAGAAGTGTAAATGCATATCCAGAGGGACCTTGACACAATTGTGAGGTGGGCTGATGCCAACCTCATGAAGTTTAATCATGACAAGTGTAAGGTCCTGCACCTGGGTCGGAGTAATCCCAGGCACAGCTACAGGTTGGGCAGAGAAGAGATTCAGACCACCCCTGTGGAGAAGGACTTGGGGGTGTTGGTTGATGAGAAAATGAACATGAGCCAGCAGTGTGCGCTTGCAGCCCAGAAAGCCAACCGTATCCTGGGCTGCATCAAAAGGAACGTGACCAGCAGGTCGAAGGTGATCCTGCCCCTCTACTCTGCTCTCATGAGACCTCACTTGGAGTATTGTGTATAGTTCTGGTGTCCTCAACATAAAAAGGACATGGAACTGTTGGAACAAGTCCAGAGGAGGGCCATGAGGATGATCAGGGGACTGGAGCACCTCTCGTATGAAGATAGGCTGAGAAAGCTGGGGCTATTCAGCCTGGAGATGAGAAGGCTGTGTGAAGACCTCATAGCAACCTTCCAGTATCTGAAGGGGGCCTATAAGGATGCTGGGAAGGGACTCTTCATTAGGGACTGTAATGATAGGACAAGGGGTAATGGGTTCAAACTTAAACAGAGGAAGCTTAGATTGGGTATAAGGAAGATGTTCTTTACTGTGAGGGTGGTGATGCACTGGAATGGGTTGCCCAGGGACGTTGTGAATGCTCTATCTGGCAGTGTTCAAGGCCAGGTTGGACAGAGACTTGGGTGATATGATTTAGTGGGAGGTGTCCCTGCCCAAGGCAACAGGGTTGGAACTAGATGATCTTAAGGTCCTTTCCAACCCTAACTATTCTATGATTCTATATCTGGACTAGTAAGGCATACACTGCTCAAGTATGCTTACATTGCATAACTGCTTTATGTTGATCTGTGTCACTGACCTGTTATTGTTAGATTTTTTCAAAACCATCAGATTAGTGGTACAAAGTATGGTTAATAGCTATGAGCTGCAAGAAGATCCTTGCCAGATCTCATTAGAAACATACTCCTGGAGGTGTATTAGTTGGCTCTTCATAACCCATTGTAATTAGTTTCTCTTTCTTGACTAATGCTAACTGCCCACAGGCAAGCAGTCAGGCAAGTAGTGCTGCTGGGTGAATGAAGCTACTATTTATTTATCTTTTATTTATTTAATTAATCTGTTTATCTATTGTTCTTGTAACTGCAAGAAATGTTTCTGGTCCTGAGTTTGACAGCAGGGTTAATATATGTAAATTTTGAATGTTGTGCCTATTGTCTGGAAAGAGATGCATATCTAGTAAAGTACTCCATTTAGCTCAATTAATCTTTTCCCCAGGTCTGTTATAAGCCCTGTAAAAACATTAAGTGAAGGGTAGTGCACATTACTTTGATAACACATGAAAACTAAATGCCTACATTAAATACTGTGCTAACTTCCTCTTATAGACAAGTAGGTGAAAAATAAAGATATGTAACATATACTAGGATTTGGCTCCAGGATGCAGTAGTAGTGTCTTTGATTAAATTATGACTGAAGCCTGTAAAAAAATGTGTTAAATTATTAGTAATGTATTTTTCTTTGCTCACTGTCATTATTAGCTGCAAGCACCACAAACAGTTAGTCCAGCAGTTCTCCAAGCTTGTCTCTCCTACACACTGACAGCCAGACTTGCACCCAGGTGGAACAAAGCTGGTCATTTCCTGGTGCAAGGTATTTGACTCATCTGGGTCAGGAATTGAGCATTAAGTTTTCAGTTCTTTATTGTTGCATTTGCTTTCCATAATTTAATTTCTATCATTATTTCATTCATTATATTATTTCATTCATTTATGTCCTATGACTTTTTCTTTGATTGCATTTTTATTGTTCCTTTATCCAAGTTCGGTGATTCGTGTTAAGAATTCACTTTTTCATCTTCCTCCTCATCTTTGTAATAGATCAAATAATTTTTTCAACTGAATGCTATATACCAGATTAATAATTTCCAAACCAAATACTGTTGGATGCTTAAAGTGCTCTAAAAATTGGACCTTTGTTTCAGATTCATGCTTTCACCAGTGCCACTTCTGCATATGGTTTGAATGCTTTCCTAATACAGAAGTGGTTTTCTGTCAGAATATCTCCTTCTATCCTTCTATCTCCTTCTATCTATCTTTTTAGATGGTAGTTCCTTTGCCTGACATGTCTCTACTAGCTTCCGTGTAGGATCTGAATTACCAAAGTATGGAAACCAGATGTGTTTCAGATACCGTGGTGTGCTCTCTTTAAGTAGAGCAATTATATAGACATAACAAATACGCATTGTGAAAAGTATGTAAGATATTGTCTTATTTCCAGACACGATATTAACAGTATCTTGTTTTCAGTATCCTCAAAATATATAGTGCTCTGAACGAGATCATCTGATATGGGAATAGCAGGTAGAAGTAGAGGGCTAGATAGTAACTGATACAAATGAAAAACATTGACTAGCAGCAATGTGATCCTGGTACATGCAGCTTATGTAATGATTTATGTTCCTAAAGCTGGGTGAAAATGATGATATATGGTAGAATATGTAGTAATACGATACAGATTTGCTTTTGAACCTGAGAAATTCATTAGCTGTTGGTCAATTAAAGATAGTTCTATGTAAAATTTCCTTACTGGGTGAAGAAAATGATATATAAGTTGTTGCCCAGTGCTATACTTTCATGTATCTTTTTTTGATATAACATGTTAATGAATCAGTGAAAAGTTAATTGACAAAGATCTTTCTCTTTCATCATTCATGACACACACAAAACTCTGTCATTTCTCCTTTTTTGCATAAACACATTAGACATATGGTTTAGAAAATAATGTCTATCTGTTTTATTTATTAAGGAAAAGATTTTTTGTCTCGTTCAGGAAGGCAAAATGCTGTTGGTAAGTACAATATTCTGTTGATAGTATTACCAACACAGCATCTTTCTGTTTTTCATTCTGAAATAACCTCTGTCAAAATACACTGTGAAAAAAGGTATTTTTTCTACTATTAATCTATAGCCAAGATTGAAATTTACCATTTACAAGTTATGATTATTACAATTAAATGTACTTGCATCAAATTATGAGTCTTGCAAGTGATGTGAAAGTTCCATAATAAGAGATAGGAGAATAAGCTAATGTGACTGTCTTGTATTGTACTACATCTGCTGTTCACAAAAGTTAAATTAGCTAATAGTTAAGCATATTGCTTAGCTATTGCAAAAATTGCAAAGTTGTATTTTAATTCCAGTATAAAAGTTAAAGATGACATCTAGGGATATTGGTGCCTAAATCTGTAACAGGGATATACGTTGAGGAGTATGATACTTTCAGTCTGTGTGCTACAGTTTGTTGAGAGCTGAGTGAATGTTCTAGAGATGTGTCAGTAAATGCTTGCATTGCTCATGCAGTCTTACCAATTGACCACTTCAGGATGTGTAATACTGGGCTTGATGACTCAGTACAGCCAGTGGTTATAAGAATTACATTTGCTTTGAAAATAGGTGCTTATATATCAAGGATGTGAGTATCAAGCACCTGGATGCAGGGACAGACATGAGTTCCTAGGGAGGTGTACTCTATAGACGGTGATTCATAATTATTTTAATTTTTCACAGTTAAAATGCACTTTAATTTCCATGCTAAGCAAGTCTAGCCTTTTGTTTTTCAATTGCAGCATTTTCGTTAGCAATTACTTTAAATAAATAATTTAGTTTAGCTTTCTGCCTAACAGATGCACTATGGTTCAAAACTAGGCTTTGTGCTTTGGTTTTATCTTAGTCATAGACCTCAGTGTATCAGAGAGACAGCTTTGCATCAGTGTGGAGGCTTGCTCGGTTCGGCTGCCACCCCCTGAGGTATAATACAGTTATATTTTCTGTAATTGTTTGACTTACTAATTTTTATCTTTTCTGTTATGTGACTTGTAGTTAGAGTGATGGGGATAGAAGTGCTTACTTCTGATTTTATTAAGATGGTAATCATATTCACTGACTATCTGCAGCTGTTATAAAGGCACAACATCTATATTATACCAAAATTGACACCCATATTATATCTATTATTAACACATTCTAGCAAACATTGTAAACTGAGAGTTTTGACTACTTACCAGGCCTTTCAAAAAATGCTAACAGAGTATAGTAAAGTGCCTTTATGATTCTAGATTTCATTCTAGCAGTGTTTTTTAGAAGGCATTCACTGTCTCACTGTCATACATAGTTTTGAATAATATCTTAAAAGTGAAACTACAGATAAGTTGTCAGCACTGTATTTCAAGTCTGTATATAATTATTCTGGAATCTGCTTGATTTTCTATTCAGCTTCCAAAATACTGGAGCATCCTGGACTATGCTGCTTGTAACCATAATTAATAAACTGTTCAGGAAATCATGGATTAGGTTGAAAAAATACCATCCTTTGTGACAGCTATGTCACCTTTGTTGAATATGTTCATACATACAGGTGCACATTTGTCAGGCTTGCTGATTTCTTCCAAAATAAGTATTTCTGATCCAAACACTTACTTAGTGTAGAAGAACAGGGTTTCTTCTGTGACCTATTTGAACAGCATAAACATTAAAGCTATCTATAGAAATCCAGTTCCAAAATGACACAAAGCAATGATGAAAGTGATCATGATGTGGCTTCACTGTCGGATCATTTTTATACTTTTTTAAAACAGAACTGGCTAAATTTTCTTGCCAGTGAATAAATGCAAACCATAGTAGAACACAAAGAGAGAATATGTTTCTCAAATATCAGTGTTTGATTGTCCCCTACAGTCAAATATTTCTGCATTGTGAAAATGTGGTGGTTTTTGACTTCTCACAGAGTGAAGCTGTATATCCCATTAATTCTGTTGCTTGAATCTTTGCACTTGACTTGGCAAGCTGGCATACACAGTTACTAAGCTGTCCACATGGGTTTCTGATTTGAACTTCAAAAATGTACATGGACGTGAGACAGTTCTTAGGCTGAGAAATTCCTTTTGTACTCTTACTTATTAAAACTCTTCAACCCTGCCCATGGCAGAGGGGTTGGAACTAGGTGATCTTTAAGATCCCTTCCAACCCAAACCGTTCTGTGGTTCTACAAAAGTTTAAATCTCACTGATTTAAATAGCCTTTAAACCTTGTACTTGCATAACATTTGAAAGTATCGGTTCTAATATAAGACAGTCTGCAATTTGATGATCTTCTGAAATAATCAGTTTGTGAGAGCTAATAAAAGAATGATAATGTACAAGCTTCAATATATTGTGATGCACAATTATTTTTGAAAATTTTAATTGTGTACTGCTGTAGAAATATTTGCAAATAACTTTTTTTTTTCATTTTAAGTTGTCAGACTTTGATATTTCAGCAAACATCTTAAAGCTGTTTGATAGCAATGAAAATACAGTTATTCACCAACATTACATATTAAGTAACTGGTGCTATGTTTTGCCAAGGTAGGAGTCTGTTATTGTTTCATCAGAAACAAACATTTCCTGGAATTGTTGCCCTACAAATTGTGACTTTGATACTAGTGATAAGAATACCTCTGTTTTACAGTCTGTTTTACATTCAGGAATCTTTCTTTTTTATTTTAATGGTCTCAGTGTTACAGAAAATGAGAAAAATAAACCAGTGAATCATAAATTACACATTTAAACATTCCTTCAAGTTTAGTAATCTCTCTGCTACTTCTGTGGTATGCAAGAGTATTAATTCTTGTCAAATATAATTTTAGCTGAAAGTGTCAATTTAAAGAAAAAAAATTTCCACCTTCACAACAAGCTGTCCCTACTTTCATCATGAAAATAAGAGAAGTAATGATACATTCGCTTTTGTTCTACGTTCACTGGTAGTGTGTATTGCAGATGAGAAATTAAACTTGTAAGTGCCAAGTTCTTTTCCATACATCAGGAAATATTGCTGTTGTTCTGTTGTAAACTTAAAAGTTAATGGTATTAGTCCTCAAAACATAAAAATTATCCATAAGTCCTTTCAATGCCAAAAAAAAATTTACCTTTTTCCCCTTAAAGTCCAGTATATCTTCAGCTGAGTTTTATGACACCCTTTCTAAGCAATCCCCCCTTACCTATCACAGCATGAAAATGGGTCAGATTATAAACATCAGCCACATAATTCCTCCAGAATCTCCTTTCCATTCATATAAAGAATTTCAGATGCACTGGAAGAATCTGGTAAGAGACAATATATACTGATTTTGTTTTTCCCTCCCTTTTTTGTACCTATTGAGTTTGTATTTGTAATGCATGTTCGTATATTGGTTTTTCTTTTTCAAGTATGGATATATTCTTCCAGAGGATCTTAAAGAGACAAAAATATACTTAAGCGTTTACTTCAAACCAATAGGGGAAAGGTTCTTTACGTATCCTTTCAGAATATTTTTGTTACATTTCCTCTGCTTTTAGCAAAGATCTAAATTTTCATCTTTGAATGTGACATATTTTCTTCTTCCATAATTTCATAGAAGTCAGTGAAGAATTGTTTCACTAGACAAATCCGAACAATATATATAGTGAAGTCTCTTTGTCTTATATATTGCATAATAGCAAGTCAGATAGAACAGTTTGCTTCACAGCTTCCATAAACATGATAAATGCCATTCTAAATGGTGATTATGTATAAAGATGAGTTAAATTCCCGTAAAAATATGTCCAGCAAAGGTTTGTTTTAAAGAGAATTTTCCTGCTGTGGAAGGCTAGACTAAGGCTTACTTATACTGAGTAATCTTTACTATGCTAGGTTAGTATGGTATAATCATGTTGAAGTCCTGTAACTTAACTTCAGTCCCTTAATTAAGTATGTGCTTCTGTTCACCTCTTTGAAAAAGCTTTAGCTATGTTCATGATTTCTTCTCAACAATTATGATTCATAATTCTAGAAATGGAAAGAAACTTGTTATGTATCCCTGAGCACTTATTCAGGTACCCTTTAAATTGCATTCGAAGTCAGCCAGTGCAGTCTTTCCCCAGAACAAATTTGGAAAGCGTGTTGAACTCATTTCTTTCTGACCTGAAGTGTAATCTTTCACATCTATGTGGATTTCCAGTAAGAATGACAAGTAAAGCACTTTACGCTACACAGGAACTCTCCAGGGCTCCGGTGTGTATAAGATTTTTTTATGAACATATTAAGGGCATGTACTTTTTTCAAGGTATGGAGTGGTCTTTATCATATTCAGAGCACAGAGCATAAAACTACTTTTCACAGCAAAGAACTATCAATCATAACTTTTATTTATATGTAATTAAATGTCATGCTATTTGCCGTTTTTAGGTTGTTCACATCACAAATACATTTGAAAACTAGACTTAGTGTTAAATAGTTGCTAGCAATATTTGCAGTTCTGTAGATCTTATTTTAAAGTTGGATATCCAAAACTTCCTCACACTTCTACACCATGAGAATAATAATAAGAACAATATCAACAACAATAAAAACAAGATGTTGTTATTGTTGCTATTATTATATTATTATTGCAGATTATTATTACAATTTATTAAAACTGAAACACGCAAAACCACAACCCAAGAGCAATATAAAGTTCTGTGGACTTGGGCATTTAAAAACACTCAATCTCTAAGGTTTACTCCATTGCTGGTGATGGAAAGGAGGCAAGCAATCAAAACTCATTTAATTTGAGGTTGTGGCAAATACTGAGACTCAAATTTCTGTGGTAGCAGTATGTGAAAGAAGAAATGAAGTAATTAATTCAGAACAAAGCAGTGACAGAACTTGCAGAGATTCTAAAATACTATAATCCTCTTTCAGAAAGCAGTTGCTGTTTATGTCTTCTCAGTGATCAAAGCTAGAATGGCTCCTTTCTGTCATCTGCAGTTTTTACAGACATCCAAACTGTCTTTGAGTCAGAATATAGATGCCTTTAGAAGTTTAAAGAGACAAGGAGCCCTGTCAGTCAAATTCTTTGCAGATCCCTTCAAAAAGGGTAGGCATTACCTAGCTGGAAAGCACTAAACCTAGATAATGGCTGCAGTTTAAGTCTTTCCTTCTGAGAAATAAGATACTCCACCATAGTTTAGAAATAAAGAACTGGGGGGAGGGGAAAACAAATTTTCATTTTTAGTGACAACAAAATATTTATTGAAAATATATTTCATTCTAATTCAAAAAAGGAAAATGTGTAGTTATATTTTGTGGTATTAGGTCGATAATGTATAGTGATGCATTATGTTACTCTATCAGATTTTTAAATCCAGTTCGTTCTATTTATTAACTCTTGTTGTATTGCAGGAAATAAAATCTAAGCATGTGAACTTGGCTGGTGAGATGGTTTGTGTAGTATCTCTAGCACAGGCTCCTCCAGGGAAACAGACTTTGCCTGGAATTTCTTCACCATGCAGTATGGAAAACAGCCACTGGATGGAGCGTTTGATTAAAGAGCCAGAAACAAACGGTTTTTCGAATAGCAGTAAGAATATAGGAAAGGTTAGCATTGAAGCAACAGCGATGTCAATGAATAACAGGCAAATACCAGAAGTACAAGAGTTACCAGTTGCAAAATCGCTAGAAATGCCTGTAAATTCAGCCTTTGAGCTCCCCTCGCAGAAAGTCAGCAAAATTATACCAATTTTCAAGGGAAAGTTGATGCAAATGAATGGAAGGACCACATATCATGCGGGTGGGAAGAAAAGAGAAAGTGCTGAAAGACATTCACCAATGAAAATTATGGGTGTTTCATCTTCTATGCTGACTGGGTACAAGCCCAGCACGACTCAGGTTTACAAACCTGTTCAAAATATATCAGTTAAAAATCCTGCTCATAGCAGCGTACTTCAGGTAACGAACACGAAAACATACGTAAAACATGATGCACCTGTATTTCGATGGAAAACCGAGTCTGCTGGACAAATGACTAGTTCTGATTTGTCTGATAACTCAGCTTCAGGTGGGAATTCGAGTGAAGCCAATCACAGAATGGCAAATTTTCCTTCCTTTCTTAAGAATGTTGGGTCAGTGCTTCCGAAATCAAACATCAGTTTAAGTCTGAATGCATATGAATCTCCTGTGTCCAGTGCAAGAAGGGGGAAAAAGTTTGCAAGTCAAAATACCATGCAAGTTCTTCAGAAACAAAACCAGTCAAAGAAAGTAGATTTGCAGATTCATAAATTAGACAATGAAATGACAAATTCCAGTTTATCACAGCAACAAAGAAAGAGATCAAATGAAAGAGCAGGGTTAAATATTAATGAATCTGTCTTAAAAGATAAAGCATGCACTGCCAAGAATGAAGAAGGTAAAGCAGAATGCCACTATATGGACTATATTGCTGAGACAATCAGTCATCATTCCAAATCTATCTTTGAACAGGTATGGTAAATAACAGCCTCATTCTCACTGGTTCTCGCAAATTCAGTATATTCTAAAACAATGTTAAGCAATAAAGAGCATGACTTTCATCATGTTCTACCAGCATTCTCAATATAGTTTTCTAAAATTTGTATCATACAAGTTAATGTTTTCAGCCACTGATGTTGTGGTTTTTTTTTTTCTGAAAGGGAAAATGTCTTACTGTGTTGTCTGAGATAGACACTTCTTTTTTTCTGTTTGGGACTTTTAAAATGGGATAATTAGTTTTCCTTTCCTTAAGACAGTTTATCAGGGAATCAAGATTTATGGGAGTTTAACTGCTAGAGGTACTTCACAACCTAATTTTTTTATGATGCTGTCTGCTTTTTAGTAAAATAAATAGCTGATCTTATTTCAGCACAATTTTCATGAGGATGATAATCCCACAGATTGGGCGCATGGGTGAAATGTGTTCTGCTTCTAACTGTTTTCACCTATAAAATGTAATTTGGTGGGTTATTTAATATTTATGTTATGAGGGCGTCTTTTGAAAAAGTAGCCCATTTTAACAACTAGAAAAATACTGGGTTGTTTTGTTTTTTTTTTAATAAGGGTATAAATTTCTTTACTTTAAGATGATTACAGGGAACAAGTATCTGACATGTGAAACACTGACCTCAAAACTGACTTCCTCAGTCAAGGAGAGCGATGTGGAAGAATTTGTAAAGAAAAGTTGTGCCAGAAGAAGACAGGTAAGCCCCCACACACACATACACCCCCTAGTCCTGTAGATAAGGGCCTGAATTAAGAGAGAAAAAGGAAAGTTTTTTGTGGGTTGTTTTTTTTTTTTTTCATTTTCGCACATTCCAGTTAAAATGGGGAAGCCTTCTCTGGATAAAATTAACCTTAACCAGGATAAAATAAACCTTAACCATTACTTATGTTACTGGTCCTTCAAACATGATCTGGTTTTAATTATTTACCCACTATACCTACAAACATATTTGTCATGGAAATTATATTTCCATTGGAAAATAACAACTTTTATTAATTACTTCTCATATCACTCAACTAAGGATTTCACTCAGAAACAGCTTTTTAGTTGAGCTATTAGCTTAGTATTACTGCTTTATTTGCTTTACTGTTTTTTTGCCTTTTGTTTGTTTTGGGTTGTTTGGCGTTTTTTTGTTAACAGAAAGAAGAAGGTTCAAAGTTAAAGAAAGCCAAGAGAAGTAAGCCTTCTATTTAGGATGTTCTGGAGTACTGAAAGAAAACCCTGGGTATGCTCATTACAGATTTTAAATATTGTTCTTTATTAAAATAGTATCATGTCTGTAATAGCTCCTACTCTTTTGGATCATAATAATGATATCAGCAGTCTCCAAAGGAATTACTTTACTGAACAAATGGTTTCCAGAAGCTAAGATTTGTTATTTATTGGACACTAGCAAGTAAAGCTTTTCTTTTCTTTTCTTTTTTTTTTTTATTCGTTGAATACAAAGGCATCTTGTACTTAGTAGAACTTAGAATTTGGCTTAAATTTGTATTTTGATTGGCTTATTTTCTTTCAGAATAAAATAATCCTGGGTTTTGTGCTGCTGACTTTCATTTGAATCTGACCTGAAATTAAAACCGTAAGCCATTAAAGTGAAGTTATGTATATTATTTAGTATCATTACATGAAATGGGGCAAGGACAAAATGGCCTGTCATATGAAAGGAATAAATTTACTTTTGTAACCAGTTATGTCAACCCACATCATGGGTTGTTGTCGACAATAGTCCTGCAGGATAGAACAAGCTTTTCTTTGAATGTTCTTTTGAATATTAAGCATACATCCAGCATATGAAACCCACCAGTTTTATTGACCTAATGCCTATCTGAAGTCAGCAGTAGTAAAGCATGCAGGAAAGAGTAGCCTACACAGTGAACTGTTTCAGATATAAATAGAAGTATATTTATTACAAAGAAAATATTGATGTAAACAAGATGATCACACAGACACAACAGCACAAAAATGTATATTATACAAAACCAATAGAAAAACATAGCAATAAAGAAGCAAAATATGAGCTATCCATCTTCTGATCTGGCTTTTGGCTTCAACATAACTGATAACAAGTAGCCAAATGTGCATTTTGGCTCAGAGATGCACTTTCTAATCTTCCTTTCTTCGTGTGGATAAATTTCTTCCAGTAAACAAGAGATCAGTTGTTTGCTTTCCCTAGAGAAAGTCTGTTGTATGGATGGAAGCTTCCCTTATAAGGCCTTCATACTTCATTGTTCAGTCTATCTTGTTCCTGGATCTGGCATTTCATCTTTCCTGCTTCAAGCTAGGCAGTTCAAGCATGGTGCTTCTTCAGATATGATCTGGTTTAGCAGTTCAGCATAGATAGGTCCAAAGTCTCTGACTTTCACTGAGGACTGATAAACAGAAATGGTGTCTCTGAGAATGGCCAGAACTTGACTTTTTTACTCAAATAATTTTTTTTTTAATTATTATTTATTATTATTTATGAGTTGAATGCCACAGGATCAAGTTGATTGTGGTAGGTGATGCTTAAATCCTGGGGAAGAAACAGCATCTTCCATAAAGTGTTTAAAATATGGGTTCTTCATTGGTGTTAATGACTTAAAAAGAAGACTGGAGCTAAAATAACTTCAGCTATTGGATAGGTGCCTACAGTTCTGATTCTGAACATCTTTGGTCTGAATTTCTTTATTATATATTACTACACATGCATTCAGAGTGCATGTTTTCATTTAAATTACTTATAAGTTTTCAAATGGGTGAGAAAGTCTCAATGTAATTCAATGACATAGTCAACAGTAAGGACTTGGATCTATAATTCATGACAATAAAAACATTTTTTTACAATTATCTTGCAAAAAGGGTCAGTTTTTATGACTAAAGTGCCAAGCTGCACTGCCTCTTAATTTGCCGAGGAAATCACAGCATAATTCTGATTTACTTTTTTCTTTTGTGGATGAAAATAGTTGGTATGTTAATAAAGCAATGTGAGAGAAGTATTTAACATTTTAAGAAATTGAAAATTTGGTTCTAACACTAAGTCATTCTCATTCATTCTGGTTTTACTCATATGCAGACAATCCCCCATTCTCTGAGGAAGGATTTTGGCTTTTCTTTGGCATAAAAAGAGTAGCTAGATATTAAGCATGAATTTGAGATACTCCCCTCCTGCCTCCATGTTTAGTGGTCTAGACTACACTGGGGTACATTGTTCTTTTTCAAGGCTGTGCAGGTTGGGCCAGTGGAAACTACAAGGCTGCTGAGGTGCCCAACCCATGAAGTGGGGGCAGGATACCTGCTATAATGAGCTCTGTAGAGTCTGTTGGGTATGTCTGCTAGATTTCCATGGAATTTCATAGGAGTTTTGACATCTAAAACAGATGTAGACAGCTAAATGTAGGTGGTCTAAATCTGGAGCTCAAAACCATTGCAAGAGTCAGACTTGAACAGTTATTAAGTTTAATAAAGATCTGCATAATTAAAAAGTTTTCAGAAGCTGTTTACAGATCCTTTTTAAGCTATTTTATATTTGCTATCAAATAGGAAATAAAAAGTCTCCATGTTTGGTCTTTCATTAACAGAAGTCATCCTATCATTTTCAAGGTCAAAAGGAAAGTTTGGCTCCTAAAACCAATCAGAAGAGCAGAGCTTCCAAGGGAGAGCGTATACTAGTACTGAAAGACATTTTAAAAGGAGGATTTTCAGCATTTCAAACATTCATGCTAGAACAGAAATGTTAAAAATAGCAGCACTGAAGTTACCAAGCCTTTTCCGCTGATCTGCAAAACTCTTCCTGTTACTCTGCTCCTGTGTTGTCATATGATACCAATCTTTTGGTTTAGACACCAAATTTCATTTAGCAAATGAAAATCTACAAATTCATTACATAAAGTGGTAATAGTATTATTTTACATGAAAGTAATTGCTGCCATTACTGTAAGGATATTGTATGAACACAAGATAGAGACAATGGATACACACAACTGGAATTTAGTAAAAAATTTTTGCAGTTTTGTATAAAGGGCTAGATCTCTATTGGACTCTTTCTTCTGAAAAGTGTATTGTCCCAAGCCAACATTTAGGAATTTCTCTTCTAATTAAAAGGCTATGATACAGAGATTTCCACAAAGCCATCTTTCAAATGCTTTCTGGAAATATTAGGCTAAAATAATACCTTTTAAGATATATAAATATAATAGCTTGAGCTGCTTTTTGAAGAAACAGTTTTGACTTACATGTGAAAATATTTGCATGGAAATTATATGTGGTGAAAATATTTGGCATTTTGTAAAAAAAAAGATTATGACAATGTTAAATCTTTCAATGAAAAAGCAATTTCTTTTATGATCGGGGCAAATTCATTTCCTAATCGAATCTAGTCACAGAAGTAACCTTTGGTCTGTGTACATTAGTAGATTATTGGTACTTAAATACATGAGACATACTCAAAAAAATAGATGCTATCATAACTTTATTGCTATTATCCTATCCATTTTTAATTGCTGCAGGATTGTTTCAGGTTAGGGGCAATCTAATTTATTGCATGGCTGACCACTTAAAAATGCTAAAGAATACTTCCTCAAGATTCTGTTTCTTATGTTCTTATAGAGTTAAGAATGTGATTTGGCTACCTGATCTCAGCTGGTTCAGGAGTCATGAATAGACTTTTGCAGTCGAAGTTGTTTCTTCCAGCACCACAGCTGACTGTAATATTTTGAGGCCTTTAAATTTAAAATCCCCAGACCTAAGAGGAAGGACAAATCTGTGCATAGAACCATAGCGAAAGGATTCTTTCTTTGTCTGTATAAAAATGCAAACATTTAACTTGAATATGCTAAATCCAGAGAAGGGCCACAAGGATGATCAGGGGACTGGAGCACCTCCCATATGAATATAGGCTGAGGAAGTTGGGGCTGTTCAGCCTGGAGGAAGAGAAGGCTGCGTGGAGACCTCATAGCAGCCTTCCAGTATCTGAAGGGGGCCTATAGGGATGCTGGAGAGGGACTCTTCATTAGGGACGGTAGTGACAGGACAAGGGGTAATGGGTTAAAACTTAAACAGGGGAAGTTTAGGTTGGATATAAGGAGGAAATTCTTTCCTGTTAGGGTGGTGAGGCACTGGAATGGGTTGCCCAGGGAGGTTGTGAATGCTCCATCCCTGGCAGTGTTCAAGGCCAGGTTGGACAGAGCCTTGGGTTAGATGGTTTAGTGTGAGGTGTCCCTGCCCGTGGCAGGGAGGTTGGAACTAGATGATCTTAAGGTCCTTTCCAACCCTAACGATTCTGTGATTCTTTGAAATCCAAACTTTGTAAACTTTGTGTATTAACCCTACCGAACTACCTTTTGGTTTCTTTTATGATCTAAACTTTCTCTCTGTTTCCACCATTCAGGTTCCCAAGAGGGCATTAACATACTTGAGGATCTCTGAGCTGTGTGAACTTTGCTGTTTATTTCACATCTTTTATACCTGTTTCTGAGTGAAAAACTGAGTGTTAAGTACATACAGTAAAGTGAAACCATGTATCAAGAACTTTTCAAGTTCAGGTTAATAAGCAAGTGTCTCTAAAGAATTTGAAAATGTAGCTAATTGCTTAGGTTTTGAATCACATTATATCTGTTCTAGTACTTGCACTTAATCATTCTTCCAAGTTAGTTTTAAGTTTCAAGTCTGTCTTTTTATGATATAGTTATATTTAATTCCTAGCTACAATGTTTAGGTTTCATCAGTAAAACATTCCTAAGTAACTTTTCCTTGTCAAGTCCAATGGTTAGAAAACAAGTGGCCCATTTTTTCTTAGGGGAATAATTTGGAGGCTGGATTTGATTCAAGCTTCTTTAATTCTTGTTATATATTCTAATGAATTAAAAAATGCCCAGAATTTTGCCCTATTACAGTGACAGCTTTTGTTTTGTTTTTCTGTTTCTCAGATGGTGACTGTTAACATAACTGATTTAATGGTGCCAGTGTTCAAAAGAGAGTGGGCACTTCAACAACAAGTGTTTTTCTCATACAAAGCATACAAAATCACACAAATATTACAAAAATTAGAGCAATATGCGCAGTGAGGAATCAATATTTACATTTTGTCCAAAAGTTGGTATACAAAAGTACCTTTCAAATGCTTTCATAGATTTGCCTATATGTAATTGATCTTTTTCTTGTCTTACAGTATGAAAAAGCCTGTAGAGCAGTTTCATTTCTGCTGTGCTAGATAAATTAATGCTTCATCTGATCTGTTTCATATTGTTGCCTTTTAAATGCTGCTGGTTGCCAATATTTGCCTTGTATTATAACTGAATTAATTTTGCATTATTCTTGCATTTTCAAATGTTTACCTAATTTTGTGTTATGTATTATAATACTTAAAATATAGAAAATTAAATTATCGCAGGTCCATTTTCTTACATTTAAAATAAACTACTGAATTATTTATTTGTGCTAAATTGCTAAATGCTTCCTAGTCTGTGCTGTAGGGAAAGACCCTGCTATTCTACCCGCTACACACGCTCATTGTAAATGTAAAGCAAGGTGTTGATAGTGAGTGGAAACATGCTGGGTGTAGGAGTGGTGGTGGAAATACCACTGATGGGAAAGAAGGATTAGTGCTGTGGCTGCCTTTGGAGGAGCTGATGATGCTGAAAGGACCTTTGCTGCTGCCTGCCCTTCACTATTTATTTAGAGAGGTTGCAAGAGCCCATCCCAGTTCCTCTTTTTAACCAGTTCTTATTAAACTGGGCAGAATACCCAGGCTTCTGACACAGGAGCCCTCAACATCTAGCATCACCTGGGGCCTCCATGTGTGATGCCCGCAGTCCTGATTTCTCAGGATTAAAGGAACAGACCCTTCTACCTGCCCCAAAATATATAAATGTACATCCAGAACAAGTGGAAATGTAAAAGGTAAAAATAATCACCAGGTGTGATAAACTGGTAAGAGGTCAAGTGGCAGAAGATATCACCTGCCCTTTGATGCCTGCAGGTCTTACAGTGTTTTAGATTACAGTGTTTAGCTTTTTCATCAGTTTTCAAATAATCTGATTCTTTGTCAAAGTTGAATCAAGTTCACATTTGTGAAAATGTACATAGCTGTTTTTTGAACCCCTGTGTTAGGTTCAGAAAGTATTTGTTGAGTTGAAGTACTCACAGTGAATTCACATTATTTAGTAAATATGCACTTTCAGAGAGTGATCTTTTCTCTCGTATTTTCATAAGTTGACAGTGTTCTTTTCCTCCCCCATCTTCACAGATGTAAGCCGGAGGGACTTTCTACATAGTTTAAATTGGCACATACTCAAGAGCTCTGTCAAATCTGAATTTAGAAGTTTACAAATTATTCTATAGGTGCTTATAACTTCAGGGAAGCTTGCTGTTTAGTTTCTTTGATGCTTGTTTTATACCAGCTTATGGTTAATAGTTGGTTTAAAAATAGTAAAATTAAGACCTCTGAAAGTACTATGTCACTGTATCACAAAGTAATTTAGTAAATATAGCAATTTAAGGACTTTGGTCTGAATGCTTATTCTCTTCAACATGCTCATCTCCTAGCTTCCCAGAGAACCATGAGTTGAACAGCTGTGGTATTTCTTTCATAGTTCAGGAAGAGGATTTGTCCCAAACCTGGAAAACATACATTGTTCTGTGTCCTTGCAAAACCATAGTTTCGCTGGCCCACAGACAGCACAGAGCAGTGGCTCAGCCTCTCACCTAAAAACTTACAGCCAGGATGAGCATCTACGTTTTCCCTGGGATCTATGCAAAATTCGATGCAACCTCTGAACAGCTTAATCCCCCTAGGGCAGCATTAGAATCCAGAACAAAGCAAGCTAACTTTATTGGAAAATATGTGAAAATTGTTCCCAAAGAGTTTACAATTGAGCCAGGAGCACAAATAGCTTCTTACAATGATTTTTTTAAATTGTTTAAAACAGTGACAACAAATTTCTTTCTAAACCCAGTATGTAAAAGGGATTTAAGCTTGCTCCAGTGAGAGGAGTTCAAAAATACTGAAAGCTAATACGTCTGATTGGCTTGCAGGACAAAGCTTGTTCTCTGGGATCAAATAATCACTTTTAGGAATAGACACAGTTTTGTTCCAGTGTGAGAGTAGCCCAATATGTGTGTAAAAAATAAAATATATACATACACACACATATGTATATGTGTTAGAGCATGTGTGTGTGCACACATCCTTACATATGGCTGTATCTCATTACAGATGTTTTAAAAATATGCAACATAATGTGAAAAATGTTGTTCTAGTACAGACAATTCAGTTTGGGCAGCAGCATTTGGTAGTTCCCCGTTGCTGTGTACCAGAAAATGATGCACGTGGAATAATCCCTTGCCCATGCCACAAAACTCCATTTACATTGATGAGAGCAAGCTACCAAAGCTCAGCTGATTGCAACTGTGCTGTCTCTATCAGTAGATGAGCTTAAATACTATTAAACCATCAACTACTATTTAAATAAATCAGTGATTAACCAAATATGCTGATAGCTGCAGCAGCCCGAAGTTGAACCTTCATGTAAATCATAGAATCACAGAACAGTTTGGGTTGGGAGGGACCTTAAAGGTCATCTAGTTCCAAGCCTGCTGCCATAGGCAGGGACACCTTCCACCAAGTTGATCAGGTAGTTGTGTGCTTTCCAGCTAACACAGTGCAGTAAAATGCATTTCCCTTAATTATGCAGGATATCACAGCACAGATTTTAGCAAGAATAAACATTCATCTTACAAAGCAGCTGGCCACCGGTCTCAGCTCAGGCAGAGAACAATACCAGGGAAATCAGCTGAGGCTGCTCAGTGCCGAAGTGCTTTCCAGAATAAAAATAAGAAGGATTACTGCACTGGGAGGTGCTAGCAGGAGATACCTATGCCTACACACCCCAAATAGGTGCAGATACCTTTTTATGTTAGGTGTTGTATTATGTAGGAGATTTATTATTATTGCAACTGAAGCTGCATGGCTCTGGGATATTTCAAAGCAAATGAGGTAAATGAAGCAAAATTAAACCTCTGCTGAAGAGGCAGAAAAAGGGTGTTAAGTCATAATTCAAAATGGTAACACATGAGTTTTGTCTTCAAAAGAAAAATTTATCAGAAAATTAATTTAACTTCTTTTTCTACCATTCATATAATGAAAAATAAAATGGAAAGAAGACAAAGGGACCCTCTCTAAAGGGGATAGTGTTCTGCAGCTTACTGTGCATCTTTTAATGTATGTGACCAGCATGGTAAAGAACTGTAATTTGTGTAAACTCAAATATTTGTTAAGCAGGAAATTTCTGTAGTGCTCTTTCTATTGAAAGGGAGATTTAAGTCAGATTCAGTTCCACAAGGTTTTATTTTCTAGGAGATCAGATGCTTTGAAGGCTGACGAAAGCAGTTTGGTTTCTATCAGATCTCACAACCCCCTTGGGAATGCCCTCACTGAAATGCCACCCAGACAAAAGGAGCGCTTTGTCCTATTGACCAGACTTGGGTTATTGTTTTTCAGTCTTCTGGTACTAATTGGATATTCTGCATCTGCAGGGTTTTTAATTTAGAAAGAATAACAATAAAATCTAAATTCTGCACATCACTGAGAGTAAATGGATTCCAGTAATGGAAAACATGTAGCTCCCAATACCTGGGCACCCAGCCAGTCCAGCTTGGTAGTAAGCATACATCTTCATTAATTCTCATTTAGAGACCAATCAATTGATTTTAGCAGTGTAAGCTCAAGTAATGTGAACCACCATTCAGATGGAAAGGAAAAAAACACGTCCGTTTGGGGATTTTGCTCCTACTTGGAATACTGGATGTGTGTATATCCACTGGCTATTGGCCTGCATGCATCTGCTTAAATCTGAGGCCTCAGCTGGGTGAAGGATGCTAAACTGTACTCCCTCATGTCCTGCACTCCCCTGGCAGAGCCAAATCTGCTGGCCTTGGGGTCAGAATGCTGATTTTACCTACTTTCCCAGGCTTTTGGAGACTGAAGGCAGCTCACTGGGTGGGAGTAGGCAAGAAGTTGTATTAAATCACAGAGACATTAGTTCAGAAAGCTGGTTTGAATGTTTGACATACACCTACAGAGATTAAATAATTTTAAATGAGTCCTAATTCAAAGGCTAAAAGCCACTTACTTTCTGCACTGTTAGTGAATGAAAATAAGCCCATCGGAATTTATCATAACAATTACACTGGGATTTTCAATACTCTGAATGCTGTATACCTTTGCAAGTTTATGGAGGAAAGTTCTCATCTGCTTGGATCTTTTCAAATATTACTGAAAAGTTTAAAAGGTGCTATAGAATAAGGTGGTTTTTTTTTTTCTGTTTCACATTTTAAAATATTGGTTTTTTTTCCAAACTTTAGTTAAAACCCCCATATTTTTATGTTATTGTACATAATTTTTAACGCAAGATGAAGGTCTAAAGCAGTCTTCTTGGCAACTGGAAAGGAGAACACAGAGCAGAAGATCTCAGAGAAAGCCTCTGTAGATAAGGTAGAAAAATAAAGGTACACAAATGAAAAGCTTTTTGGTGAGCTAAGCCCATTCCCCTATATACCAAGGGTGTACCCCCTCTGGCTAGGATTTCATCTGAACCCACTGAGTTGTGCATCAGTAATGAGATAATATTGAAAGTACGCATCATTAATTTTTAAGAGAGCTACCACTAGAAGAAAAATACCACTCTGTAAAAAGTGTAATAGACCTGGCAGGGCTACATTTTAACACCACAACATTTTTATTTTCATGTCTCCATAGAGTCAGTATCTGTTTAAGTTAGAGCAACACTCATTTATTGTGCAGTTTCACACAGTACCCAGGGGAAATTTGGTGCAAAGTTTAGCTCCTTCACATCAACTGCACATGACTACCACTGCATAATCAGGGTAAGTATTTTCAGAATATCTCAGGATAATAAAACAGCAACTTTTTAACATGTTGATTACAAAAAAGAATAAAAAGTTCTGCATGGAATGCACCAAGTGTGTGTGTGGGTTAATATTTTTGTGAACATAGGAAAAAATATTTGTGCTGTAACTCACTATTTCATTAAGGTATAATGTGTTATTATCACTTTTAGATATAAAAGTCACAGAAGCTCAGAACGTCTGTAAAAGTTTGGATCACTGGTTATGGCACTTGCTGTTCTGATGAGCTTATCCTCAAACAGACGAGAGTAGTTGGAGGCACAAGCTATGAATAAGATCAGAGAGCTGGTAAGTATCAACATTTATAACTGATTCTAGGTCACCTGATTCCCATCGAGTTCATTGAATATTTACTCATGTCTCCCGTTGTGATTATGGTGGCACTTCTGTTAAAGCTAATTAATTGATTATATCGAATTCTTTGTCGTTTTTGTCACCCTTCTCCCCCAAGTTTATGCATGCTCAGTCCAAAGGCGTGATTCTCTGCCTGCATCCCAACATGCTTAGAACTTAGAACTTCAGTGC